CGCCTCGCGAAATATCACTTCCGGGTTTTCTAAAATTACAAAGACAGAAGCGTCGGCCTACAACAGCGATCGACGAAATACAGAAATTTAGCTTTTTTCAGCAAAACTGTCTCAAAACTGAAAAAAAACCAAGAGCGTCATGATCTGGAGAACATTTTAAAGAATATTCTGGCGAAAACCGCATGTCGATCTATGAAGCCTTTAAAAAGCCTTTTGAATAGAAAAATTCGGCCACCACAAATAGATAATAGATAAAGCTGAACAAGGCAATCCCTAACTTTCTTGCTATTTTTTTTTCTTCTAGAAACTACTTAAACTATGTCCAAAGTATTGTTTTCTTCATCAGCTGTCCAGAAATGATTTTTTTAGAGTTCTGCTATTATTTTCAAGCTGCTATAGTGTACATAGTCTTGCAGTGCTATATAAATATGTAACAGGTTACACTCACTCTTTATTTTTTTTACTGTTTAAATTCCTTTGTAATTATATTTCAGGTTGGTATGAGACAAGCTCATGCCTTTGGAAGCTATGTCAGGCACTGTTACGCTGACTTTGTTGGAAACACTTACAGTAGTGATCAGGTGTGTAATTTTCTGTATTGACACAGTGGAATGTTGGACTTCTCCATGTTCTTGAAATTAAAAATAAAAATAATAGCCTTATAGGCATATAATATGCTGAGGTTCAAACCTACTGAACTGCAAACGGAATCCTTGCAAATGTTCCAACTGCATGGGACACACTGAGGCAAAGCAGCTGTAGCACTGCATGAAAAGTAGTAAATGAATGAACCCTTAACAGCCAAAGAAATCTATTGGATTCGTGGATGCTCGGAATGGACCTTCTTAATACAATCAGTTTATCACCCAGTCAAACGTATGGAAGAACACTGAATCATAGACTCCATTGTCTATTGTGGATGGTTAAAGGATGCTTTCCCTCTGTTTTTTCTTTTGTTTATCATACTTCTTCCCAGCACTAAATAACTGTTTTGTTGATGTGCTTCTCTTCTCTCAAACAAACTTAGCATTCAGCTCATGCATCACCGAAGGTATGCAGATCAGAACTAACTCCCCAAACTAAAAAAGCAGCAAATATTTAAATTCAATGACACCCTATGTTAAATTCACTCTGAGCAATCATCATCATCATTGCCTTTCTCACCCTGGGTCAGGATACAGGCCACGAACAAACACTTTCTACCTTTCTCTATCCTGGGCTAGTCGCTTGATGTCACTCCATGTCTTCCCACTTTCTGTACATCCATTGCCGTGACTCTTCTCCAGGTTCCACGTGGTCTTCCCCTTGATCTTTTACCCTGTGGGTTCCAATCTAACACTTTTCTTGTTATGCAGCTGCTCGACTTCCTGAAAGTGTGTCCAGTCCATTGCCAACACCTTCTTCCCACATCATCTCTGACTGGGCTCTGTCTCGTTCTTCTTAATACTTCCTTGTTGGTGATCCTGTTTGTCATTCTGATCCTCAACAATACATTTACTGAAAAATTATCAAAGACAGTGGATCAGCACCTCTTCCAGTGCGGAACTCTCAATGATAGCAGAGCTTTTTGTCCTTCCTTCGAGAACAAACTCTGTCAATGGGACCATGCTGTTGTTAAACAAATTTTGCAAATTACACTTTGTGTCATTACACAAAAGATGAAAAACTTATAGGTTTTAGAAAAATCAATGTGACAACATAGCCTTTGTTTCTGGAAGAATTGTGATGCTTTTAAATGTTACCTTGATTCTGAGGTAGAAGTTTGCTTAGAAAGAAAGCACATACTTATGTAGGTATGAAACTTTTTTGTTCTTCTTTTTCCCTGTGTTGAAGTTCAAATTGTTAATATTTAAGTTTAAGGTTGAACATGGCTGAATAATTAATGGGGGCTCAACAAGCTATCTCCCCCTTCTCTCTTATGAAGGAATGAATTATTGCACATGTTAGAAAATTCTTAGAGACAATTGATGGTATAAAATTTGATATGATAAAGTAAGATATTCACCATTATTCCTGCCTTTGAAAAAAATAAATTATTATTGTACTTTGACCAGTGCCTGCCATACAAGGAAGCACATGCTGGTTACACCACTACCCTCGCTTACCCCGTCTGAATGCCTGTACCTTAATTTGGATCAGATTTGAACCCAACAAATGCTGTGCAGCTGTTTGTCATCCCGACAAAATGATATATATATTCATAAGCGACGCTAGCATGCAGTAGAGAGCAGCGTGTCTTGTAATTTTAAAATTTATTTTACTCACAGGTATTGATACGAAGCACGAGCAGAGAGAGAACACTAATGACCGCTCAGTGTGTAGCTGCAGGCTTGTTTCCTGTGATTCCTAATGGGAATGAGGACGCGTCTTTTCCACCTTGGTCTCTCGGAACATGGCAACCCATTCCTGTGCTGACAACACCCTATGGAACGGACAAAGTGAGTAGCTTTTTGCACTATGGGAAAGTAGTGTAAAGTCTCATCAGAGTTTGAAAGGTCTGCAGAGGTGGTTTTGGGTTCATTCTTGAACTTCAATGACATTATTTGTCAGCGTATTTTGGTTCAAAATTGGTATCCAGTAGCAGGAGATTTGTAAATTTGTAAGTTTACCTTTCTCTGTCTAGATAAGTCTTATTTGAATGCAGCATTTAAATGTTTCTTTATGGAAAAAAGTAGAAAGAAAAAAGATTGTGTTGTTCATCAATTTAAACAAGATTGGTGTGCTTGCAGTGTACTGAAGCTTATCTTAAATTCTAATAGTACAACTTTCGCCTCAACTCGGTTGAAAGGCTGGATTACTGTGTGGTCGACTGCAGTTCAAATCAGTTACAGGGTGTTCTTGAATTGGAATTGTAGGGGAAGTTTTGATAGCCTTGATAAATACTCTGAGGTTGACTTTTTGTTTTTATAGAGAAATGATTGTTTAAACTAATACAATGTCAACCCATGAGATTCCATAGTCGTAAGTCAGTAGGTTAGGGACTTGATCTGTCATGCAGAAGTTTGGGTTGGGGATATTTTTCAATTTCTTACCCCTTTCCTGACAGGAACTCATTGCTCCTCCTCCAAAATGACCTGCATTGTGTTTACAAAGGTAGTAATCTTTGACAGCTTTTGATAAAGAACTCCATTTCAAACTCCTCCCCTCCTCGCCTGATGTTTATGCCCATTCTACACTTACACTTAAGCTGAGTTGATGTTATAGAGTTCATGTCTTTGTTGTGGTTGTGTGGCTGAGCTCTCGCTCATATTCTGATTAGGTCACTGTTAGAGTCAGTTAAAAAGTCCCATATCATTGATGTCCGACTCTAATCTTGCTAATGGATGACCTTGGTTTTTAGAAAAGTAAAAAAACCCAACAACCCAAAGTAGTTTGTTTCTTACTATCTGTCAGAATTGTCAAAATATTATAAGGAGTGTTTTCTCTTTACGTATTATAGTATCATCAAGTGTGCTTATGGATGTGAATAACATGATTTGAGACGAAAAAGAGTGACCAAATGTGGTGCATACATGTGCTTTACTCTGAGTGTCCGCCATACGGGTTGGGTCATGTTTGAAGAGCTAATCATTAAAAATACATTCCACAGTTGATGCACCCAGACCATGCCTGCCCATATGTGCAGGCCTTAAAGGATGGAAACCTGGCCACCATTGCAATGAAAAAAAATCTAATAAATAACAAGGTTTGTGAAAACATGCTTCCTGGTATGAAATCTTTACAAAACCATCCCCCCCCCCCCCAAAAAGAAAAATAAATGAGAGTCAGGCTTGCATTATGAGGTAAATGAGATTATATTGGAGATCACCAGAAGTTCCTGAAATATGGCCTTGTGTTCTTCTCTTGTATAAGCTACTGAAACACAAATGTCCTCTCCAATGAAACTAACCTTTCTGGAATTCAGAGTTTTGGGCCTGTCAGCTGCTAGTGGCTTAGATCGAAGGAAAACATATGTGAAAAGCTGAAGAAGTTTAAACATTATACTCATTGCCCCTTCTTTATCTCTCCAACACAGGGACAATGATAACCTCTCCACTCCACCCAAATGAATCTTATGTAACTCTTTAATGTCAAGAGCCAAGTTCTCTCCTCTTGGCTTATGTTTACATAATCTTAATCTCATCTTTCTATGGTACAGGCTTTGATGTTCAAACTTAGTCAGCACACGGGAATGGTGATCAATACTACCTCTCTACATGGTCTGGCTGACACAGTCTACTGCCAGGTGATTTGAATGTTGTTCTTTTATTGATTTCTTTTGTTTTCACTCCTTACTTTTCCCATAATTTGTCATTTCCACCAAAAAGCATGCACTAATCTGGAAGTCATGTGGATTTGAACTCAAGGCTTACATGTGATGATCAAGTTTGTGACCAATGGGATCTCAATGGCCATCAAACTACATCTGTAATGGTGTAGTTTTTGTTTTATCCCTTTTTATTGGAGGGAAATCATATTGCAGAATTTCACTATTTAGCTGAGCTCAATTTTCCTGAAGAAAAGGAAAACTTTTTTGTCATCCTGTCAAAACTTAAAAGGAAACTGATTGAAATATGACCAACTTCTGCTTACTGTCCTCAAAATAGTTTTCCAAGGTACCTCATTTTCTCTATTCAAGTCTATCTATCAACTTTCATGTTTTTTATGGAGAAGCTTTTTAGATTTTGTCTTCTTTTTTATCTCTTATTAAAAAATGTGTTGTCCATGGTGTTATTTGTTACATATCGTGCACAGTTTTGGTTATTATGAAGACAGAACAAATAATATTCAGTAAGATTTAGCAGGACGTCTTTTCAAACCTAATTCTAAGTCACATATTATGCACTCTTTTTTTTGTTTCTGTTATTTAGGGGAGAGCCACTGGTACAAACTGGTATGTTCTCATTCTCTTCGATGCTGGCTGTTGTTTCTTTGTGTTTGTTGTTCATTTGTGTTTGTCATTCCTATTTTTCTCCCTTAATTAGTCGCCTGCTACCTCCTTCAATCGCAAATATCTTGACTTCTTTTCAAGATAGATGGGTATTTTTTTCATTGAAACCAAGAAAAATAGATAAGCTTTAAGATGATACCAATAATCTCATATATTGACAAGCTCCTGCCTCCACCATGCTGTGGAACATACACCTTTATATTAGAGAAGTATTGTGCATTTACCATATTTTTTTCTTTTTGTAACCCCCCCTGTGCTACTGACTGACATGTCTTTAGGCCATTCCCAAATGGGGGACATTAACATGTTCTTATGCACAGTAGAATTGTAAATGGGCTGATTCACCAATGTCATGCTCATAACTGTGCCTGAACTGTAACAGGGAACTGCTGCTTTTTCTTTCCTAATCTTTACTATCAGTATTTTGTCACACTCTTGTGACCAGCTATTTCCAGGGTGCCTTGGTAGTTGGAGCAGACTTTGTGCTGTTGAAGTGAGAGAGGTGAGCAGAGTAAGCCCGATTCCCTGTAAAGACTTCTCTGCTGACATCCACCCCTTGGCGCTTATATGACCTTATGCAGTTGTGAGCGCCGTAACACCTCTACCAAAACTTTTTTAAAAACTTTCTTTTTATTAACACTTTATTTATCTTCATGTGGTGTCTCTTTAGATTAACACATTTCTAAAATATATAAAAAAGCCCCCAAAAACAAATGAAGCGATACAAATATACAAACGAATTTCTGTTGTGTTCTCAGCTACTTCACAATATGACCCAGCCACAGTGGTTGACCAAGGCCGTGGAGGAACAGCTTGTGAAGTATTACCTGAATGTGCCAAACACTGCCCCGGAGGTGGCCAAGTATCTAACAGGTACGAAAAAAGAGGGAAAATAAAATGTCTGCAGTAGGAGTAAGAAATAAGTTTTCTAATAGTGTACATGATTTTTATTTATATAGTTGTACGTTTGAATGTTTTATACTTTGCATTCACACAAAACAGCTGTAGTACATATTGTGTAGCTGTGGTGATTGGCCAAAAAAAAAGGAGAAATTGCTATGAAACATTTGTGAGTTATCAGGAGATTTTACTGCTCTTTTTGTATTTTCTACTGTAATATAAAACATTTGTGAGTTATCAGGAGATTTTACTGCTCTTTTTGTATTTTCTACTGTAATATAAAACATTTGTTAGGTATCAGGAGATTTTACTGCTCTTTTTGTATTTTCTACTGTAATATAAAACATTTGTGAGTTATCAGGAGATTTTACTGCTCTTTTTGTATTTTCTACTGTAATATAAAACATTTGTGAGTTATCAGGAGATTTTACTGCTCTTTTTGTATTTTCTACTGTAATATAAAACATTTGTTAGGTATCAGGAGATTTTACTGCTCTTTTTGTATTTTCTACTGTAATATAAAACATTTGTTAGGTATCAAAGGTAAAAGATTTTACCTCTCTCTTTATACTTCTACTAGTTCTACATTACTGCAGGTAAGATAATTGTTTGTCAATTTTCTGAACGTAATGCATTCATGACAACTCTCTTGTACAAAATTTATGAAAGAATTACTTTCTATGCTATGGAAATGATTTGTCATCCCTTCATCATAACGTTTTATTTGAGTTTGAACATGGTGAGTTGATGTTGCTGATAGTGTTCCATATACAGTGCAAATCACCTTTTAGTTCATTTCCTTCTTTTGTTTAGGAAATCTCCTGCGAGCTATCACTGACAACATGATGGCCAGAGCGGACGACGAAGGAGAGAAGCTCAAACTGTACCTGTACTCAGGGGTGAGAGTCTTGTGTTCTGTTTTACCAACTGGCTTTATTCCTTTGTTTTTGGCATGTATGAAGGTGCTGAACTTCAGCGCTAATTCGCGTGTCTTCATGAACCATATCTACTCCATTCAAAGTATTCTATGTTGGCGAACCTATGACTCATTATTGTGTGATGTAGTGTATTTTATTGTGAAATGACATATTAGTACTATCAGATACAAGTCCTTCTGTGTGATCGGTCAAAGGCTAAGGGTGAACAAGACTGATGTAAAGTGCGTGTGTGTGTACTTATCTTACCCCATTCAGTGTTCACTGCCACTTTAGGAAAAGGAAATATCTGTTGTTTTAAAAACTGAATGTTTGATGAAGGGGGGGGGGGGGGGGGGGGTGTTGTGTCAATGATTGTTTCTTGTGTAAAAAGAAAGAGTTAACAAAAAATTCCTAAGTATTCTTACTCATGAAAATTATTTTTATTGTTGCTGTACTTTCCAGCATGATACCAATGTTGGTTCCTTGATGTCCTTACTGGGTTTTGGCAATGGCATCCATGTTCCATTTCTCGGGGCTCTCATCTTTGAGCTGCACAAGATTGAAGGAGAGCACTTTGTACGACTTCTGTATAAAAATGATTCTTCATTGCCACCTTTTGTGATGAAATCAGAACGTGAGTACACCCTTTTAGCTGGGCATAGTGTTACAAGTTAAAAAAAAAAAGCACCCCTCGCTATCCTTTTACTTTTTTGATGGTCCATGGATTGGTGGTAAGTGCTGTGTTTGATTGAGTCAACTCCAGCTCGAAGCAGGTAGCTGCACTGTGACCTCAGAATGGTGTTTAACTGTTGGACCTTTGTCTTTTGTTACTGTCCAACCTGGAGTAGTGTTGTCTGTACAAAGGTGCAGTGTTGTTATTATTATTTTCTTCTTGAAGAATGAAAGATAGAAATGGCTTTTGTTGAACTCGGTTAATAAATTCTTATAGTGAAAAAACTGTTGTTTTTTTAAATTGTCTTTTCCAAAAGACAGGCTTTTTTGTGTGTTTGTTTTGTTATGCTTCCTGTGTTTGGGGGTTTTGTCACAAGATGGCATTTATGTTATTTTGAAGTGTATGATGCAAAGTTGAGAATTTGGTAGAGTAGCTTCAGTTAAAAATATGATGTTGAACTGTTAGATTTTAAGTAGTATATATGTGTCACAGCAGTAGAATCAGGTGCTCTTCAATTTTTGTGCATACATTGTTATTGGTATAAACTTAAAGCTTCTTCATTTGTCTTGTTTCTCATCACAACAATACTCATCTATCTTGAATAGAAGTCGGGATATTTGCGATTGAAGGATGTGGGGTCGCCTGGTGTAAGTGGTAAAATGACCTCCAAAGTTTGGTGATTTCCAAAGCTTTTGTATCCTTGGAAACTGCAAATTTACATTTTTTATGCCTTTGATGAACGTTTTAAAATAAATTCCATACAAGAATGTGTTTTTTAAAAGGACATTAAAGGTTCTGTTATGTTGGGATTAGCCAAAATTGACTTAGTTATCTGTTTGAACCCCAAAATATTCCTTTCATCTTAAAGAAAGGAATGGGGAAAGTTATTAGCTCCTCTTTTAGCTCTTAAGTTTTCTGGAATTTCTTTTTCATCCTCAGGTTGCTATAGGGAATTTTGCCCTTTACACTCCTTTGTGAAAGCTTATAAAGACTATGTGATGACAGAAGAGGAGTGGGGCACCCTGTGCAGTGAGACAAAGTCTCCCGGTGGCTTTGTTATTGATGACCGTAAGCTTTGAGTTTATTTAATTGATTCTGGATCACCATATAAGTGGTGTCTTTGTTCCGCATTTCAGGGGATTGCCATTTAAGTGACGTTTTTGGAGTACTGATTTCGTCAACCCTAAGACCTACACCTGGTCCTGTGCTACATTTACTATCTATTTTCACTCATATTGTGATCTTCTGTCCAATTACGAATAGTTTGAGTGCTCACACAAACAAATCCATCTATATTTGACTGAATTATATTCATTTTAAGGTAACACCGCTTCGAACTGGGTGCGTAAAATTGTGGAATCCCTTGAGCATTGAGAGAGTTAAATTAGGCATATAGATTGTAAAGCGGGGTTCACGTAGGAAATGGTCAAGTTTGAGGCGTAATAATATTTCTTAAAAAGTCTTTTGTGATTGGTACATTTATGAAAAACATTTTAATTTCATTGTTTTACCTTTCAAAGGTTTTATTAAAACACACTTTTTCATCAAACTCATGTTTATTTTGTTTATTTTTTTGTTCCTTTGAAATTTCCGTCTGTTGTCACTTTGAGAGTTTAGAGTTATTATTATTGTAATGATGTGCCTCATTTTGATAATAAAAATGAATTGTTAAATTATTCATGCTTTTTAAAAACTAAAGCCAAATCTTTTTTAACCTACTGAGATACCTCTTTTTACTGCGGTAATAATGTTCATCTTTGTGTGCTCTGCATCACATTTGCCTGCGTAGTTTTGCATCTTCCTTTTTTTTCTCACTTCTTCTCTACAGGTGCGATACCCATAATGGTGGCTGTTCTGGTAGCTCTCTTGGGTCTCTTAGTCTTCCTAGCTTTCAAAGCTCTTCAGTACAGGCAGCAGATCCGACTGGGGCCGGGGAGTGAACAGTATGCCTTGCTCAACGAGGGAACGGATGGGACCAGCGATAGCGAAACGGAGATTTACATGATGGAGGAGACTCCAGAACAGAGTTCCAGTCACAGAATTGCCAACGGTACGTTTGATGCGGATGATGAAGAGGAGGAGTATGATGATGTCGATAAGTCGAGGAAAGTTCGAGGTCTGCGTGATCATGGTAACGATGAGATGGAGGATGAGTTTTAGTACGTTGTGATTCTAAAATATCTTTTATTTGATTTTGTTGTGATTTTTGGCAGCTGTGACTGTGTATTCAAAACACCCTCTTTTGTGATACTGCAGGAGTACACTTTGAAAATTTGTCATTGAATTCTTGGAAAATGAGACAATTGTGTATGTGTGCTGTTAATGAAAGAAATAAGGTGATGAGAAGTATTCATGATGCACAGTTATGACATTTTTACTGCTGTTTATTTAAGCTATGACCTTTAAATAGATGTACTATGTACATTTAGATTCAAAAGAGGCCATACGTTTTACTTGTTCCCCAAAATACTGTGTTTTGATCTGAACATTCCATGAACCAGTTGTTTCTTTTAATTTTTGTTTGTTCTAGTTCCTGTTCCTGCTTATCACCTTGCAATAATCATTCATTTTAATGTATCTAAGGTTCTTTTTCCTTTTTTAAAAATTGTCTTCCAAACAGCCATCTTCAATTTCTGCTGTTATTGCTGCTTACTCTTTTAAAGTAGTTCTTTTTTATGCACTGATTCATGGAATTAAAATGTGAGTGAAAATGTTTTCTGAGGATAATGAAACGTGACATTGATATAACCTTTGTCATTACTACTTCATTCCTTTTTTTGAGATTTGATAGTTGTTAAATGAAAAACTCTCTTTGCCTCCCTCAGTGCATTATTTCTTATGCACTAGCATTTTCATACTGTTCTGTGTTGTGAAGAATAGATCGAAATCTTTGGTATACAATTATCAATATATTCAACTGCACCTTTTTATTTATATTGCTCTTTATGATGATGTTTGCAGTTTTTAGTTTCTGTGAATTGTTTATATGTCACCAGAGTGAGCAATGCTGGTCATGCTCTTGTTTAGTGACATAATTGTGATGTTTGGTTCCTTATTATACCAAAGTTATATGTATTTTCTAAAGTGATAATTACTTTGATGCTAATCTATGTCCTACTAAAGGCAAGATAGTCTAGTTTGGAGACAGAGCATTTGATCCCTCTGGGCTGGGATACAATATGTAGCAATTCAACATAATGAGTCGCTTGTTGCACTCAGGTGTTCCGAGATATCGTACAAAACTTCAATTTTTTAAAAACTGTTTTTTTGACACCTCAACTGTAAGTGACCATAACTTTGAAACCAAAGCAGCTAGACTGATACTGTCTTCATACACTTGAACGTCTTGAACAGATCTTTACTTTTACATATTTATAGTATTGTATTGTCAAAATACGACTTGCAACTAATTTTATCATGTTGTGACACAAATATTAAAAAAATTCTGACTAGACTCAGTTTCAAACCTTGGCCTTCTACATGCTTTTCAGGATTGTGATAACAGCAAATGACATTTCTCTGTTATCTTCTGAGGGTGATCATAAAAGTTATGCAGGGCCCAGGGCTTTGATTGATAAGCAGATTGAAAAGATGGCGCTCATCTTGACATGAGGATGTAATGGAGCTGTGTCTGGCTATCTCTTGGTTCTTTGAGCCATCAACTTCAGACCTTTTTTTTTCCTTTTTGAGTTTTTTTCTATTATAGTCCTTTTGGTGGGGGGCGCGGGGGCTTGAGGAAATGGGATTGAAATGTGTTTAAATATTTTGTTGAACAGATAAGGAGTAGGCTTTTTAAAAGTTTAAACAAAATCTCATTTTATTTATTTATTTACTCTCATGCTTTGATCTGCTGATAGATTGTTTGATCATTTTTGTCTTTTTCATCACATTTCGTCTAGGTCGTTATTGCCTGCAACACCGGTGCTCTCATGTTAGCAGTGAGAAGAAGAGCAGTAAGAGCAAAGTTACACAATCAAAGATCTTTAACTTTAAGCATTCAGCTTACTCTCGTTTTTTTAAAATTTATTTTGTTTGTTATAATAATAAAGAAGGCAAAATATGTTCATGTTTATATGCTAGTCATCATAGCATTTATTTAATTTTTGCAATCTGTTTGTGTCAATATTTTCTCTTTGTAATGATGGAAAGATGAATACTTGTGTGGAGAGTCTTTTTCTTTTTCCCCTGATGGCTTAGAACTTTTAGTCCAGAACATCTTGCACTTTGTTTGTAATTATGTGTTCCAGTTGAATTTTTAACATTTGTGAGGGAGTTTTACTTCTAAAGTCTGTTTTGTATCCCAGTTGATTCTTTAGAATTCGTCCATACATACTTAGGAAAGCAGTTAATCTAAAGGTCAGCAAAATATTACTTTTCAGTTTCTTAAGTTAAACTTTATCCTTCTTTGCAGAATGTTTGACCCCTGGTGATTAACTTATCAGAACCATCTTTTTCAGTGGGTCGTGCTTAAGGTTGGACTGAATAAGAGAAAAATGTGTTTGCAATCGGTTTACTTTTTAAATGTACAAAGGTTCGTCAATGATGCCAAACTTTTTGAATTCATTGTATTTATCTTTTTTTTTGTTTAAGATTGGTCAAAATGTATTCATGGCCCTCATGTTTACTACTAGTCATGGCTAGTCAACTATAGGTTCACACAGTGTCTTTATTTTATTCATTTGAAGGCCGTTTTTCCCCTCCATCAGATAATGTATCTTTCCTTTCTTGGAGCTGTAAGTGCCATTTTCATTATTTATACTGAACAGAGTTTCTTTAAATTTGGGTAGTGGTTAATTGCAATTTTGCCAGCCTGCTTTTCAATATTTTTTTTCAACTGTCGAGATTTCTTAATGTTTGCAATGTGCACATAGGATGGGATTTAAAAAATATTCTTCTCTGGTTTTGAAGAAAACTAAATAAATGCCTGACTCCAACATAACCTTCCCTAAGGCCGTTGTTATCTATGCTGTACTTTGGAGTTGGTTTATGTGCATATAATTTATAAGTGATGTTCCCACCTTTCTTTGGAACTCTTTTACACTTACATTTCTACATCAATTTCTTGATACTTCAGAATATATGAAATTTATGAGTCTGTGGTCCACTGCTGTTAAGAAGTTTTAGATTTTGAATCTTTTTGGTCAGAAAGCCATGACTGATAATTTTGTCATGGGTTTCGCATGAGGATATGGAGTATCTGTAAGTGGCTAATCATATGTATTGAATAACATCTAAGAGAGCAGAAAACATTACTTCTGCTGGCTGTGTGTCACTTTCATCGTCACTTTGACTCCTTTTAGTGCTGTCTGAGTTTTTGACCTGGAATTTGGTGATTTACAAAAAGGTTGTCAAGGTTTGTTGTCTTGACAGATATTTATCAAGCACTTGAATTTTTTTTCTTCTTTGGATATTTTGCCATTTATTTCAATTTCCATTTTTTTCACCCCATAAGAGTATTAAGAGTGAGATATATCAAAAGAGGACAATGTTAATGTTGTTCCATATTCATTATGATGTAAATATTTGTTGATCTCATGCTTTATTTAATAATATAAATCAAACAAGTTTAGCAGAGCCATTCTTATACCGTAATTTTGGTTTTGACGGCCTCTCTCATTACGTTCTTATTTGTTGCTGTAGCTGGTTACTGTACTGGTGTGAATTATATTTTCTTTCTTTTTGAAAAGAAAAACAATATGTTGCAGCTTTCTGTAATGTAATTTTCATTGTTGATGCTCTGTTCCTTGAACAAAGGGCAAGTCTGTTTCAGTCTTTTTGAAACTCATCTTCGATACTCCTAATCTGAAATATTTTATTGTTTTCTTGTGACTTCCATTTCTGTTAAGTTTCTCATATCAGTCTTTTGTATATATGAATATACATGCTCTTCAGCCTTCAGCATTGTTACTGTTATAATGAAAGTTTATGCTTTAACTTTTTTTCAAGATGTAACTTTCTATTCCAATCTGTATCTCTTCTCTAGTGCCTCATTTTTGCCAACATTGATAATTTGCTCAACATTTGTGCTGTCCAAATAAAGTATCGGTGTGGTTCGTTTTGAAGGTGATATGTTATAGTTGCAACAGCAGCTGCAGCAGTAATAGTTGTTGTTGGAGTACATGTCTTAATTTGGGTTTTGTGAAGAAGGAGACTGTAAAGCTTCATCGTGATAACTGTAGTTAAATAGTATAATGGAACGTTGCCAAATTTGAAAGAAAAAAATGGATTAATTGCATTGTTTGCTTGATAGGTATGACAAATGGGGTTAGTATTTGAGAGGAAATGTACAATAATGTGACTAAGGGTGTCCGCGGGTTGACATTAAAAAGTCTAGATAATTTACAATTTTATTTTAGGGGCTGTTCAAATATAGTATTACACCTGTTTTGGGACTTTGTGTGCCCCCCCCCCCCCTTCTTACACTTTTCTTACTTTTGCGCCCCCCAATCCCGTAATATTACATTGTTCTATGCGGTTTACATAATATTCATGAAAAACATGCTTACACACATGTACGTGCTCATAATAATACATGTATGCATTTCTACATTCACTAAGAAATAACAGAGTAAATCATTCAAGCAAAATATTGCATACACTCTTTCTTACTAAAAAGGAAAAAAATTGAGACTCATGTCAATGTCAAAAACGCCTTAATTACAAATAAAACAAATTACAGGCAAATTCTGATAAAGTCGGAACCGAAAAAAAGTGTTGACTTTGAGCAAAGTTGACTTTAACCATTGTACTTGTAAATGGCCCTTGAAAATTGAAGATGACAGCTACGAAATTACAAAGTACCTGGTAACAAGATGTTAGCTCAATTTCAGTGAGTGCTCAATTTCAGTGAGTATAATTATTTTCTGAAGTTGTCACCAAAGCAAGAGATAATGAGTGAACAAAGTAATTGGAGATGTGTACACCACTAGCTCAGGCCCTAAATATATATCTTCTTAAATGAATTCATCTTGGGATTTAGCCACAAATTGTTGACTTTACGCAAGGTTAACACTCAGGCAGTTGACTGTATCAGAAACACAATTAATTAAACAAAGAACTTTAAGCAAACTTAATTTTTCAAGATTCCACTGTATCTCTGTTATAACTGATCATTATGCTTAAAACAAAAAGTTAAATTAGTTATCATCAACAAAGGCAGTGTTCATCATTATGTCAAAAATATTTTTAAAAACAAGGGCATCTGCTGAGCTGTCTTCCAAATCTGGGTCCTGTTCCTTCTCTTTCTCCTCTTCCTCCTCTAAAGCCCTGTGCCTCTTCAATGCCGCAAAACTTGGAAAATATTTTCCACTTCCCTTGTGGCGTATTCATGCTTGCAGCTCGAGGACTTACTGTATCGCCATGGCATGTGCCGTGCTTACCACTCTAAGTGAACAGTGAACTCTCTTTTTCTGTGTTATTTGTAAACAAAATTATGTTGTCATAAATTTTTTCCTTGTTGTTTTTTCACCTCACAATAGTTCTCTTTCTTTTTTTTTTAAACACTTTTCTTACTGGAGCCGAAGAACCCCCCCCTTCCTCCAGGCTTAAGATTATATTTGAACAGCCCCTTATGTCGTTACCCTTTATTCAAGTCAGAATTTTTTACCATCTCATGATGATGAAAGGTGCTCCTGGAGACTACATAGCTTCTAGCATTTTTAAAGCCTGTTTGTTGGAGAAGGACCCAAATTTTAATTAAGTGGCTCTGAATTGTACAAAGTCACTAACTTTCAGTTATTTAGAACAGTTTCTTAAAGTTCTATGTGAAGGGTACATCTGCTTTACAAAAATTTTCTGTTTTGTACACCAAATGATTGTGCAAAGTGATGATTCGTTTGTAATGTGTTATGTGATAATGCTCAGTTTGGATATATATATGTCCAAAGTTATCAAGGTTCTGCTGGGCTTCAGTCAAAAGTTTCCATTTGCAATATTCAATTGTTCTACAATCCTTTTGGATTTATATTTTATGTGGTAGTAAGTAACGAATGTGTTAAATCAGCTTTCAATAGCATCAGGAGTACATGTTTCAAAGACTACTTTAATAAGAATTGTTGTCACAGAATACACATGTTTGGGTTTCAAATCCTGTTCAGGAGGTTTTTATGGTACCTATGTATTAAGTGCTGTAGTTTTTCCTTAAAAGGGTTAAAGTGGAAAACTTGTTTTGTTGCTGTTTATGCTTTTAATTTTGAAGTGAATCCTTTGTAGGTGCCAGTTTTAGCATTAGTCTGGTAGGAAGTTGTAATGCTTCTCAGTATTTACCACATAAGGTGAGTACTTTTAAACTGGACATACAAGTTTTGTTTTTAAATTTGTTTATGTTCGATATTGTTCTTACAATTTACGGCCATGGAGATACCACCGCAAAGGTCTACCTCATTCCTGCTCAAAAATTATTTTTGTAAATTGAAAGGGTCACAAAATTAAGGATCCAAGTCGTATTCTGCTGAAAATAGAGTTCTTTGTAGAAGACACACATCAGCTGAGACTTGACAGCATAGCATTAGAATGAAATGACGGTGGTTTTAAATCAGAGTATGGTCTTTATAAATTACCCAAACTTGGTTCTATATCTTGCTTAAGACTGTGATTTGCATTTTCCTTGAAACAACCTCAAGGTGACTTAGACCCTTTATCTTTCTGATCACTTCAATTCTTTTGCTCTTTTCGCAGCTCCGAACGGCCACGTTTGTGTCTATGCACCTTTCTTTAATTATATGAAAAATGAAACTGAGCACATTTGCCTTTAATGCGAAATTACGTTGTGCTCCGCATTTGTGTGGACTTTAAACTTTAAAGGTTGTTTGTTTTTGGTCCTCTTATCAGATTTCATGTTGCCGTTACAAACATTGCGATAGTCTTTTCTTTTAGTGTCATCATGAGCTTAGTGCTATTGTCTACTATGTAAATCATTTTAATTTTAAAATTGACTGAATTTCTGTCACAAAACTGGGAGTGAGTACAAAATGAAACTGCATTCTACAGAACATAGGCTTTGACAGTGATAATTTTGGGCTCACAGGAAAGGTTTTTCAACAGCCTTGACAGCTGTGACAAAATCTCCCAAAAGTCAAAAATTGGAATTAGTACAAGCTAGCTCTCAGCTAATGCAATGGAGGTAGTGAGAAGAAAATATGTTAATCGCAAGAAGAGACAAGTATACAAACCACTACTGAACACTTAGGTACCACTGGTGAATTTCTCCATTTGCTGTCTGAAGAGGATCTTTTGGCTACAGATGGACAAAAAAAGTGTTGTTTGCGAAGCACTTTGGTTTGGGTTACATGTTCTGTTTTCAGAAATACTTGTTTTTTAATATTATGCCTCTGTGCATCAACATAACTTAGTGGTAATGAAGCTACTGTAAAGCTGAACATAAAAAACCCCATAATACATACCATAAACAAGGCATAAAAGTTTGAGCTCACCAAGTGACAATATCAGCTTTTCAAATTTCTTTATTTATTTAGTTCAGTGCTTGAAAAAAAAACAATTGTCATTTTTGCCAGAAATTGCAAAAAAAAAATCTTATTCTAAAAAAATAAGGATCTGTTGTTGCCATTGCCCGTTCTTGTTATTTCTGCTGTCATTTAATGTTCCACTGTGATCACACTGCTTGCAAAATAGCCAAGACTAAAAGATGTTGTCGGGGTTCACCTTTTAAAAATGATTTAAAAAAAAAAATCCTTTCCAGTTTATCGTCCAGTTTACAAAGTTCTATTTTTGACAAAAGGTGTGGATAGTTGGAGGGCGGCACTGGTAGGTCCTACTTCTATTCTTTCCCTCTGTTGTTTCTGTCTATCGTCTTGCTTCTTCCTAAGGCTGAGGCCTACTATATGAGTCATTGAGTGGACGTGCTTCTCTTTTCTCAAACAAACTAAACTCAACTTGAAAGTGGAGGATTACAAAATGCCAGTGCTGATTCTTTTTTACAATTTATTCTCTAGTCATGCACAAACTTTAAGTTTACAGTCAAACCTTGTTTTTTCGCCACTCTTGGGATGAGCATGAAGTTGGGGGAATAATGGGGCTGGCGCCCTACTGCCCAACGTCAAGGGAAATGATTCTGCAGTGCGATCTGTGCTTGAGAAGTGTCTTTTCGTTTCTTGCTCTCTCTATCTCCTTCTTGTTGGAGAGACTAACAAGCAGGCAACCAGTGGGTGCCATGGGTAGTGTGTACCTCTGACGATCAGTTCGCTGGCGGTATGGCGCGGCAAAGTTACATTAGTTTAATGAGGACCGTACAACTCAGACAGATGGTGGATGGCAGCGTTAAGGCAAACTTACTATGTTTATAAAGGCGTTCCTTTTCATACTTTAGCAAAACTGGTGGTATAACGAGGGGTGAAGCAACGAGGTTTGACTGTACTTTATTCAGTATAATCACTGTTTCTGGACTTTTATTCCATGACACTCTTGAAATTGAACTTTGTTATTTACAACTATGCACTTCTCACAGCATTCACAATGTACAATTCCTTCCTTTACATTTGAAACTAAAATTGAATGAGTAAAATTTATTTTGCTGACAATATTGTTCTTTCATTTTGTTTCATTGCTGTGTGAGGAGTATTTTGAATGCATACTCTACCCGTTTATAAATGTTGTGTGGACTAAGTATTCTCCATCCTCTTCTGTGCATTCCACTGCTGGAGTCAGAAGTAGTTGACTGCAGTGCAGCTGATTTTTACGTATGTGACTGTTTTTCCTTCTATGTAGGGCCCTTGCCTTCAGGCAGCCACATTCAGAATTCGAAGGTACTCTCTATGTTTTTATACTTTGTAGGATTTCATTTTAAATTTTGCCCAGATGGCAGCTTAGGCCGACTCTATCGCTTTTAGACCTCCAAGGGATCTTTAATGTGCTCAACTTGCACACTGGTCCTCCGAGATTTTTCACCCTTATCCGAGAAGGCTAGGTTTCGATCTTACTTACCCTAAGAACTGGGGTGTGGCTGACTGAAAGACAGCAGTGAGATTGGAAGGAACTTGGAGTAGCAACAGAAAGAATCGCAAAGTAAAGGAGAGAGAGGAAAGTGGAGATGAAAGCAGATGACAGAACAGGATTAGAGAACAGGAAAGGAGGTAAAAGGAGTAATTTTAAAAGAGGAAAGTCTTTCCATTGATATCAGGTTTCAAACCTTTTTTAATGAGAGGCGAACCCCATACCTCCAGACCATGAGAGCCGCCAGTATTCTCC